GGATGAGGACAGCAGGACATGGATGAGGACAGCAGGACATGGATGAGAACAGCAGGACATGGATGAGGACAGCAGGACATGGATGAGAACAGCAGGACATGGATGAGGACAGCAGGACATGGATGAGGACAACAGGACATGGATGAGAACAGCAGGACATGTATGAAGACAGCAGGACATGGATGAGGACAGCAGGACATGGATGAGGACAGCAGGACATGGATGAGGACAGCAGGACATGGATGAGGACAGCAGGACATGGATGAGGACAGCAGGACAGTGGTGAGATGTGCTGTTGGAGTGACAGATAGCTTCAAGGTGGAGGTGGGAGTGCATCAAGGATCAGCTCTGAGCCCCTTCTTGTTTGCTCTGGTGATGGACCGACTAACAGATGAGGTCAGGCAGGAATCTCCGTGGACTATGATGTTTGCAGATGACATTGTGATCTGTGGTGAGAACAGGGAACAGGTGGAAGAGAACTTGGAGAGGTGGAGGTATGCACTTGAAAGAAGAGGAATGAAAGTCAGCCGTAGTAAGACAGAGTCCATGTGTGAATGAGAGGGAGGAGGTGGAACAGTGAGGCTACAAGGAGCAGAGGTCACAAAGGAGCAGGACTAAACTCAGTTCCAGTACTGACTGGATCCTAATTTGATCTGCTCAAAACAAATTATGCAGTTGCTTTCAAAATTGTCAGCAACATCTAAAAACTAAAAACTTAAACAATTAGCAAGTGGTATTAATAAAAAAATAAAAAAAACAACAACATAAAATAATAACTCTTGCCAGTAATACTAAGCCTAACATTTTTATTTGGAAGTATTTAGGCTAAAGCTCGTAAAACAAAAACACTGTATTTCTGAGAGCTTATAGTAAAAATGTGTCTGAAAGATAAGAAACACAGAAGGCTTTACAGTATCAAATCAATTGACAGGTGCCTTAAATAAGACAACATCTCAGGTTAAACCCCTGTGTTCACAAATCCGCTTAGATCCTCCTCTCAGGTAAAGCATTTATTAGACGGCTGCTTATTAGCCACATAGCGAGGCATTAGGAAAGCTGGGCATTGCTGCACCCAGTCCGTGTTAAATGGCCTCCAGTGGATGGAGCTGGGGTGGATTACAGTGAGAAGAATTAGTTGGTGAAGAGACGGTGAGTTAGCAGGACTGAGGTAGAGAGGAAAAAACGTATTGGAGGAGAGAGATAAAAAACAAAACTGTTTGATATGACTAATCAATTTTCTATAGATGTTGGCGGAACGTTTTGTTTAAAGCATGAAACATAAAATAATAACGGCCGATGGTTCTAAATGTAGAGGGTGTTCAACAGCTTGGAGATATCTGGTATAAGTAAGATAGAATGTATCTAACCAAATTAAAGCAAGAAGAGAGGAGAGGGGTGTGGCTTGGCATGTGTGTGGAAGGAGGTGGTTAAAGGGTGGCTGGACACACACACACATGAAAACACACACACACACACACACACATGAAAACACACACACACACACACACACACATTAACTGATCCGCCACAAGATAACCAACATAACTAGACACAAGGTGTGGTAAGCTTCCAAGCATATATGGTTGTGCATCTATAAATGGTGGTGGTGGTGGGGGGGGGGGGTCCTTCCACTGGGATCCTTAGTGCTGTCAGGGGGGGTTCGTAAATATGCAAAGAACCAGTAAATTAAATCAAACTGCCAAACTGTCAATTTCGGGCTAGCGTGACTAGTGCATGAAAATGGCATCACTGGAAGGTATGAAGGCTCCGGCGGCCCCCTTATCCCAGGGCTTTTCTGGCATCAGTTCAACTTTGTGTACAGAGGTGGCTAATTCTGCATGTAAATTTCAGTCAATAAGCTCCAAGCAAGCCGTCCCAGGATATTTCAAAGGATCTGACAGAAGATTCTCCCTCCTCTCTCCTTCTCTTTCTATCATTCTTGCACACATTCTTCTTCTGGCTCCTGAATACCAACTAGACAGACAATGAAATTCAATCACCCATTTGCTTACGCTTTTGCATATGCACGTTGTCCCCTTGATGCTCCGTACCCCCACGACTGAGCCAGCCCTTCCTCTCACTTCTTAGCTCCTAAAAATAATGAGGGGTTTGGAAGTGTCTGTGCGTGTGCATCATTACCTATCCACACTCATGTCCTCCCACTCGTCCTTAGTGGGACTGGGGCTGCGGCCTTGGCAGCTGATGGCTTGATTGGAGCTGACTGTTGGGTGGCGGTGCTGGTGTAGAAGACCTCTGTGCCTCGCCGCCTTCAGCTTGACCTTGCTGCTAACGCTGTTAGCGATCCCAGAAGCCTGCGCTGGTCCTGCTGCACGATTCCTGTAGAAGTCTCCGGCTGCTCTGACAATCCCCAGTTCTCGTCTCAGCTTGAGCAGCTGATGATGAAGCTTGGTAATCTCTTTCTGAGACGTGGCTAGTCGGACTTTCAGAGCCATGATCTCACCGTAGTGTTGTTCCTCTTGGGCCAGGGCTTGAGCACGGGCCAGTTCTTCTCGGACAGCTTCCTGCGTCCGCAGATGATTCATGGAAGCTTGGAGTGTGCGGCAGTTTTGGGCCAAGTCTTTATTGGCTTGAAGTAAAAGTTTTTTCTCTTCCGTCAGCCCGTCTATCTGCTCCTCCAGCGACTGCATCCTCCGCTCCAACTGCTCGGTCTGCAAGTATCAAACATGGAGCGTTAGTAACTAATTATTCATTATATTTTCTTTACAGTGAAGTGATAATACGTTTGAATTAAACCTATCTAGGCACAGTAGTTCTGCTAGAACTGATGAGGTAGGC